TCTATATTGGGAGTTTGGCGACTTACTTCTAGCCCCTCCGTGCGGGGCTAGGGCGTTCCTATTTGACTTTGTTTAACAGTCTGGTTTTATTTTTATGGTTTTATGATGTTACGGGTTTACTTTGGATTTTTTATGGCCATCAAGAGTCATTGTTGAAGTTGGCAAGCGTACAAACGTACTAAATAAAACCAGGCAGCCAGGGGTGAGAAGGACCCTTGGGATGTGTGCACAATTAATGACGGTCCTGAGCCACCCCAACAGAAGCTCAGATCAACTATGGAATCTCCTGAGGGTTGCTAGAGGATTCCATTGTGGAAGTCCTCCCAACTGAAGCTTTTCCTTTAATTGAAAAACGAAGTTCACATACCCAAAGCCCCCCGCTTCCCAAATTTCATACTATAAGCAATAAAGAAATGCCAGGAGAATTAGATGCACCTTTACTGGTTTCTCTAAACATCACAAGTCTTGAGTGATGAAGAATGAGGTTCTCTCATGTGAAATAGTTCTTAAACCAGGGGTCTTCAAACTTGACAGCTTTAAGACTTGTGGACTTCCAGCATTCTTCCTCCAGTCATGTTAGTTCAGGATTCCTGGGAGCTGAAGTCCACAAGTCTTAAACTTGTCAAGTTTGAAGGCCCTTGTCGTAAGACAGCAGTTGGCCTTCCAAAGATCTGGAGGCTAAAACGTATGAGCAACAGTTGCAGGAATTGGGTATGTTCAGTTGAACGAAAAGAAGGATTAGGGGTGACGTGATAACAGTGTTCCAATATTTGAGGTGCTGCCCCAAAGAAGAGGGGGTCAAACTATTCTCCAAAGCACCAGAGGGCAGGACAAGAAACAAAGGATGGAAACTAATCAAGGAGAGAAGCAACCTAGAACTAAGGAGGAACTTCCTAAAAGTGAAAACCATTAATCAGCGGAATGACTTAAATTGTGGGTGCTTCATCACTGGAGGTTTTTAAGGAAAGTCTAGACAGTCACCTGTCTGAAATGGTATAGGTTCTCCTGCTTGAGCAGAGGGCTGGACTAGAAGACCTCCAAGGTCCCTTCTAACTGTGTTATTTTCTTACACTCTTCTGAGGATCTTAATTTTATCTCAACAAGCTTGTAAGAGATGAAGGAGTTCCTTGTCCAGACAAGCCCAAAGCCTCAACACCCCTCAACTGTAAAACTGAACAACAGACAACTCCAATGGGCTGTTGTTGTTTTTTGGTGCAGGCTGGGTTTGCAACATCTAGAGGTCCATCTGTCTGGGATGTTGTTCAATGTGGGTAGCTGCATCAGCAAGGGCTGGACTAGATGTTCTCCGAGGGACCTTCCCACCCTTTTCCTTCTCCAATTCCATCTTTTTGGAGCGAACCTCTTAAAACAGGGTCCACTTAGAAGATGCTAAGTCTCAAGCCAAGATTCACTCAGGTGGTGTTCCAGGGTGAGAACAGCAGGGAAACTAGAAACAGCCAAATACAGGGTGAATCCGGCACTGCTCACACTTAATTTTGAATTTTTACCTTCAATTTGTTGCACACTGTCCTCTGGTGGCTACTCTGAGTCACAGCTACTTTGGACCTTGTTAAGGACATTTTGTTGATGGCAATTAAGGTCCCCCCCCCCCCATTGATAGGTTTTCTTCTTCTTTTCCATCATAAAGAAACTGCCTTTTTTTTTGGTTGCAGAAATTAATGGGAGTTGACTGAAATGGCAAAACAGATTAAAGAAAAGAACACAAGTACGTTTGTTTCCAATGGAAACCCCTTCTGAACTTCCATGCTTGATGTGGAAAAGAACGAAACTTTGACTTTGGGATTTACTGATTAGGCTGATAGATCTTTATAGAAATGGCTTGTTTATACTATTAGGAAAAGCAAAAAAAAGTTGTGATTTGATGTGAATGTCTTATTTTACTGCATTGAGAGTCGGAAGTCAATGCTTCTTCTCCTTTCTTTTTTCTTATCTTTCCTCACTTTTTCCTTCCCCACTGCTTTTCCTATTTACTTTGTGTTTTGCATCCACTAATTTGAAACAACTTGTTTTGCACACCTCACAAGACTTCATATGAGCCAGCCGTGTGCAGCAGCTGCCAAAAAAAGCCAACACAGTTCTAGGCTGCATCAACGGAAGGATAAAAATCAAGATCACGTGAAATGTTAATACCATTTTATAATGCCTTGATAAGGCCACTTATCAATACTGCATCCAGTTTTGGTCGCCATGATGTAAAAAGATGTTGAGACTCTCTAGAAAGAGTGCAGAGAAGAGGAATGAAGATGATTAGGGGACTGGAGGTTAAAACATACAAATGAACGGTTGCAGGAACTGGGTATGAAAAGAAATGAAAAGAAGGACTAGGGGTGAGAAGATATTCCAATATTTGGGGGGCTGCCACAAAGAAGAAGGAGTCAAGCTATTCCCCAAAGCACCTGAAGGCAGGACAGGTAGCAATGGGTGGGAACTAGTCAAGAAGAGAAGCAACTTAGAACTAAGGAGAAATTTCCTGTCAGAACAATTAATCAGTGGAACAACTTGCCTCTAGAAGTTGTGGATGCTCCAACACTGGAGGTATTTAAGAAGAGACTGGATAACCATTCATTTGAAATGGTATAGGGATTCCTGCCTAAGCAGGGGGTTGGACTAGAAGACCTCCAAGGTCCCTTCCAACTCTGCTATTCTATTCTACTTCCACATGCAACTGGGGAAAAAAAAATCCAAAATAAAGATGCTTTCTTACTTCAGTCTTCTTTGTGTCTTTTCTGAAACCACCACCAGTAGGAAACAACAGAACAAAAGAACACAACTTCTGATCCTTCACAACTTCTGATCCTTCACAAGAATCAACAGCAAACTCAACTTTCCCCCATATTTTTTGTTGCTGGAAGAAAGGACTGGGATGAACTGAATGTCTCTTGCTATTATCTTATCTTAAAAACCCCTTTGCCCTTTGAGCTGCGTATCCAGAGCACGATCAGCACTGACTGGGACATAGAAAATGCAAGAAATCTTTCTTGTTTGTTTCTCTGCAGATTTCTCAGAGCTCATAGGGGGTTTTTGTGTGAATAACAGCCACGTTAAGGCTGTGCATTTCTTTGGACCGGATTCCTGCAGGTTGCTTTGCTGGGAAGGTGAGTGCAAATTGTAGCACTGGCTCTGTAATTCTTGAAAGCAACCGTGTCTTTTTTTCAGGACCCCAGGACAGCGGCAGAGGGTTTCCAGAGAAAAGAGGTGGTTGTTTTTAAAAGAGTTGTGTGGAATGCACCTTCTACCTGAAGTGCCTTTCTGGAATTAAAAAAAACAAAACAATTGCTACCAACCTGCCTTACATTGAGGACCTGTATACTGCATGAGTCAAAAAGAGGGCTGTGAAAATATCTACAGACTCTTCACATCCTGGATATAAACTGTTTCAACTCCTTCCCTCAAAACGACGCTATAGAGCACTGCACACCAGAACAACTAGACACAAGGAGTTTTTCCCCGAATGCCATCCCTCTGCTAAACAAATAATTCCCTCAACACTGTCCAACTATTTACAAAGTCTGCATTACTATTACTATTAATCCTCCCTTCCTTTCACCCACCCCCTTCCACTTATGACTGTATGACTGTAACCATATTGCTTGTATCCTAACGATTTATATTGACTGTTTCCTGGTATGATTTCATTGCTTATTGGTACCTTATGACCATCATTAAGTGTTGTACTTTATGATTCTTGACTCTTGATGAATATATATTTTCTTCTATGTACACTGACAGCATATGGACCAAGACAAATTCCTTGTGTGTCCAATCACACTTGGCCAATAAAGAATTCTATTCTATTCTATTCTATTCTATTCTATTCTATTCTATTCTATTCTATTCTATTCTATTCTATTCTATTCTATTTTGATTCCCATTCCCTATTCTAGTCTATTCTAATTCTATTCTCAATAAACATTCTATTCTATTCTTATTCTAATTCTAATCAAATCAGAAAGACGAGACAGCTTAATCACACACCCTCTTGCACACACACACACACACACACACACGAGTAAATTAAGCTGTAGGAAAACCCAACAAGGATGTGCCAAATTCTTGCCAGCCTTGGGAAGAAATTAGAATATATATTTTCTTAATCAAACAACTGCTGAACTTGAAAATTGAAGCTTTGAATTAAAGGCTCAAGGGAGAAAGGAATTTTGAAAGTTTTTCAATTTTGACTCCGAAGATACATACAAGCTATCTCCCATGTTGCCATATGTTCTTTAGGTGTGATGGGACTTCCTCATTCCTTTTGTCCCTGAGCATCTTGGCACCAGATTTTCTTTATATAGGTCAACCTTGACCCTCAAGGGCCGTGATGGGGCTAAATTTCCCAAAATGAGTGGAGCTACCAGAAAGAGCATCGCTTTTCATCGAAACAACCCCTTGACCGAATCCAATTTAAACTGTATCACGATCTGCTGAGTATTTTAAATTCCACCAAACTGTACTGTAATTTTGTTAAGGCCATCCTACTTTTCTCCAGACCAAAACTGGGTGATAAATCTAATGGGAAAAGTTCCCCATCGTTTATTGCCTTTCGGAAAACTTTTTCGGCCATTCAATGAAGCTTTGCATTTCTCTTTCTGGGAAAGTTTTGTAAAATGCCATGGGTTATTGGCTCCGCCCCCAACCTGCCATTTTGCATCTAGCTCCTCCCACATGATGTTATTTTACACAAATTTCTATTTAATAAGAGATAGCATCCAGGTTTAGGGGTGGGGGGGAAAAAAGCACCCTTCCATTTGCCCACTTCTGGAAATAACCAGAATAAAATCGAATGTCTGATTAAAACTATATTATCTCCTTTATAGAATTTATTGGTGAAAATTAGGACGTCTATAATCCTTTCCACCACTTTTGGCAGCGTCTTTGGGCACTGACCAGAGTTTTCCTAGAGGTGAATAGGGATGATTGGTTTCAGAGTTAAAAAAAAAAAATCTGGTGCAGAAAATATCCTAAGACTTTTTACTCTGGTTTTTTTTTATTTAAGATTAAATATAACCTCTCTTCAGTAGAGCATCTCTCTTTAAAACCACACAAAAAGGGGTAGGTGGGTGGGTGGGTTGTGATACATTCTTCCTGAAAAATAAGAAATACTGACCATGGAGCAAGGAGATTTACAGTGCAAAAAATACAAGCGATTTACACCGACAAGTGCAAAATGATTATCCTTACAATTTCTACAGCATTGCACCAGAGCAAATCGTTCTTCCGTCGCTCTGGACTATCATTCTACAGCACCTGGTTTGCATCCGATGCTCTAGATCAGGAGGTCTTCAAACTTGACAGCTTTAAGACTTGTGGACTTCAACTCCCAGAATTCCTCCTCCAGTCATGTTAGCTCAGGAATTCTGGGAGTTGAAGTCCACAAGTCTTAAACTTGCCAAGGTTGAAGACCCTTGCTCTCCAACAACCACGTCAATTCTGGTTTTGAGACAAACCAAGAAGTGGGGGCCCTGACTTCGCCTGGCATCCGCCATTTGCCCGTCTTGAGAAATTCAACACATTTTTTTTAAAGAGTCTATGACTGCGGATAATTTCTAGATCACGGATACGCCACGTGAGGAGGATTCCAGCAAAGATGAAAGGCGCGAGCTAAGATGTTGGTTGATTGTTGCGGTATCCGCTAGCACGGGGGACACCCAGGTTGGCATGCAAACACACACACGTGCGCGAGCACACAGAGCTTGCTTCGAAGGGCAGGAGACAACGATCTCAGAACTTCACATTTCGAGCCTGGGAGGAAAGGGAAGCTATCGTGGTGTCTCTCTCCCCCCTCCCCGTTTTAGTAAGGAATATCGTTTTGGTAGTACTGGATCATATCATAGGTCTTGCTCCTAAAAAGAAAGAGGGAAAGAGGAGGGAAAAAAAATTAGGCTTTTTTCAGAAATGTACCTCTTCGGGTTGAATCTGGTTTCTTTGGGGGCTCGAGAAACAGACAAGGTTTATGATGAAGAGGCTACTCTGGATGAGTGTTTGCTGCAACAGTGAGTCGTGGATTGATTAGAAATATACTGTAGGCGATGACTAAGGGAAGGAAGAGTCAAACATGTCATTAGTGTTTCTCGACAAGCCCTCTGTAGTTAAATCAATAATTCCTTTATTAGGAGCTCCAGCAGCCCCGCAAAAAGTCTCTCTCTCTCTCTCTCTCTCTCTCTCTCTCTCACCGCAGGCTAACTAGTCCATCTGTCCGGAAGATGAATAGTTATCTGTCACATCTATTCATCTCTGTCCCCTGTCTTTTACCACCAGAGCTGGGGTGGGGTTTTGCTAGCAATAGTGGCTCTTCCATCCCAAGGACCGGCTCATAGATTTCCATTGCTCTCCTCTCCTCCGCCTTCTGCGCATCCACGCATCAGGCACTGGACCCAGCTGTTCCTCCTCTTCCTCATCAGCCACCTCCAGACCTGGGAGCTGTTGACTCTCCCTCTGAGGGCTGATGGCCAGCACAGGCTTTTGGGCTTCATTGTGGTCATAAGGGGAGGACTGCCTCTATTTGGCATCACACCCAGATGATCTAAATTTACTTATTGCAAAGCTACCTTTGACAGGATCTTGTTAAGTCTAAAAGATACAATTTCCCTGCCTCTTTTCATTGCTGGGCCACAAATGGGACAGCAGAGAAGAAGTACCTGTTGCTGAGGAAGCAATTCTGAATGATCTTCATGATGAAGTTGGCAGCTTCCCGCTCCGTCATGTTGGGGCTGAACCTGTTCCTGTTTGAGAAAGCAGGAGAAGCAGAAAGGACATCAAAAAACTGTTCTGCAGAGAAGTCTTGACTTTGGCACATCTCCTCACAAGCATGCGGACAACAGTGGTTGCTGATATTTTTTGCAAAGACTCTTAAGTTGGCGGGATATAATAAGAGAATCTAGGGCTGTGAAGCCTGTTCTCACCGTGTTGTAATTCTTAATACAATTATATGAGTGTTTTTCTCAACCGTACAAACTTCTAAGATATCTGGACTTTAACTCCCAGAATTCCCTAAGCTGGTATGGCACCAGGCTAGAAAATGGAAGGCTGTGAATTCTAGTCCTGCCTTAGGCATGAAAGCTCGTTGGGTGACTTTGGGCCAATCACCAGGAGACTGGGAGTTCTAGTCCTGCCTTAGGCATGAAAGCAGGTTAGGTGACTTTGGGCCAATCATCAAGAGATGGTGAGTTCTAGTCCTGCCTTAGGCATGAAAGCAGGTTGGGTGACTTTGGACCAATCACCAGGAGACTGGGAGTTCTAGTCCTGCCTTAGGCATGAAAGCTACCTGGTAACTTGCGGCCAAGTCCCTTTCTCCTTTTCTAGAAAGGCGGCCTGGAAAGCCACTTCTGAAAATTGCCAAGAGAACTTCTCCAGGTAGTTCCCAGGAGTCAAGACGGATTCACAGGTACCATAAAGAAATAGAAACTGGACCACACCTTTCTTTTTATTCAAAGAAATAAAAACTGGACCACACCTTCCAGGAGGCCATCAGGGATGAATGTTCCCTGCTCTACAGGGCCTCATTTTTTTTCTTCCAAAGCTTCGGGCTGAGCCCCATCCACCCCACCAGGCCATGGGACTCTAGCCAAGCAGCCTCCCACGCCCCTCTTTAAGCCAATCAAACCCTTGCTTAGCTTAAACGAGACCCGCCCATCGTTTCTGCTCTCAGCCAATCGGTGCAGCCCACTTACTTCAAGAGTTTGATGGTCTGTCCCCGAAAACACGGCAATCCTGTGTCCAACATCAAAGTCACCAAAGAAACAACGGCATCCATATAAGGTCTGCAAGGAGAGAACGAGAAGGGAAAGCACAGTTGGTCCCATCCACCAGCAGGAAGAAGTTTATTTATTTAGGATAGGATGAGACCAGGGCAGAAGGGAAGTAAAAGTACACACACACACACACAACCCACATAATTTTATACAAGACTTCTATGGGGCAGGGACCTCATAACTGGATGTCCAATTCAGCTATCCAGGCGATCGCCTCTGGGGTCGCTTCAGGCCGATCTTCTAAGGAACCGGAGAAGGTACATCGTGGGCAATCTCACACAGACCCCTCACGTCCTGGACAAAAACTGTTTCAACTTCTCCCCTCAGAACGTTGCTACAGGGCAGGAGTCTTCCAACTTGGCAAGTTTAAGACTTGTGGACTTCAACTCCCAGAATTCCTGGAGCTAACATGACGGGAGGAGGAATTCTGGGAGTTGAAGTCCACAAGTCCTAAAGCTGTCAAGTTTGAAGACCCCTGGTACAGGGCATTGCATGCACGCCCAAACAACAAGACACAAAGATAACACACACACACACGGCCATCACTCTGCTGAACACCTAATTCCCACAGTACTGTCTTATGTCTATGGATATTTACTCATGGAGTAGAGCTCTTTTGCTATTATCCTTCTCTTTTTTTCATCTTTCTGTATCTTATGATTGATCACTTGTTTGTATCTTAAGACTATTGGTTGTAGCCATGATTAATATCTACGACCTATCACTTTGTTGTTTGTATGTACCCTGAGAGCTTATGCCCCAGAGACAAATTCCTTGTGTGTCCAATCACATTTGGCCAATAAAGAATTTCTATTCTATTCTATTCTATTCTATTCTATTCTATTCTATTCTATTCTATTCTATTCTATTCCTTATTCTATTCTATTCTATTCCTTATTCTGTTCCATTATTCTATTCTATTCTATTCCTTATTCTGTTCCATTATTCTAATTCTAATTCTAATTCTAATTCTAATTCTAATTCTAATTCTAATTCTAATTCTAATTCTA